GGAAGATAAAGCAAGACAGATGGACTCTTGCCCTGTTAGATTTGCCATTGTGACCCATACATTTGTTTTAGGTTGAGGTGGGACGTATGCCTGCACGCTTAGCAGCACGGCTGCGACGACGAAACCTCCTACACTGCGTGTCCCATTCCTCTGGGTCAACTTGCCACTGAATGGGGATGCCGATACCATTCTGACAACAGGAATCTATAATCCCTGTCCTTTTAACACCTAGAATTTTCTCTACTAAGTGCTGTACCCTCCAAGATAGCCTTCTTAATTCCAGGTCTTCTGTATTTTCTATTAATCTCAGGCTCTCCCTGATAGGCTGACCTGTTAGTCGTGTTAAAGTGCGCTGTGGTGAGTCAAAGCTCCACTGGCGCTGACAGGTAAGACACCAGAATGCAGAGGTAAGGTGGTGCTGATGAATCCACCAACGATGAGAGCACCCTCCACAATATATTTTTACCCAAGATTGGTGGTCATAACTATTGCAAGTGAAGCAAGCAAGCAGACAAAAGCGGTCAAAGTCTCTAGCTAAATGAGGCAAGAGGCAGTCTTCAACTTCTCTCTGCGAGTCAAACAGGAACTTAGTCTGAAACTCTTTTTCTAGATCATACAGGATCCTGGAGATCGTCCTCTGTAGGCGCTGCCTCCTCCTCTGCTCCGGGCTGGTCATTGGTGGGCCGCACCCACTTAGCTGGGACCCACACAGTACCTGTTGGTGTAGAAACACACAGATAGCCCCTGCCCCAGTATAATACTTTGGCTGGACCTTGCCAAATTCCTGTTTTTGGATCTCTATACCTGACTACCATTTGCGGAGGGGTAGGGGCTTTAGAGGCAAAATGAATAATTGCTGCGGGTAACCCCCCATCTCCAAAAATACATAAGTGATTAAGCACAAACAGGCATTTCAATAACCTATCCTGCACGCTGACTGTATCAATATATTTTTCCAGATATTTTTTAAGAGTTCTATTGGCTCTCTCTACTATTGCCTGTCCAGTAGGGGAGTTTGCAATCCCTGTAACGTGTGTGATGTTCCATGTTTGCATAAAGCGGGCAACACGTTTACTGCAATAAGCAGGGCCATTATCAGTCTTGATCCTCTGAGGCACTCCCATAACCGCGATACAGCTGCTGAGATGTCGCTCCACATGAAGGGCCCGTTCTCCTGTCTGAGCAGTAGCCCATATGTAATGGCTGTAAGTATCAATAGTCACATGGACGTACTTCAAGCGACCAAAACTAGGTACATGGGTGACATCCATCTGCCAAAGTTCATTAGCTTGCAGGCCTCGTGGATTTACCCCTATTCCCAGGCTCACTCCTCTGTTGTGATGGCTACATATGGGGCAAGCCTTAACAATAGCTCTAGCTTCTTGTAGTGGAATACGGAACTCCTGTGATAGGCCTTTGGCATTCTGATGAAAGATAGCATGGTTCTCTCGGGCCATTGTTTGCCGTGGAAGTACTACTTGATGAGCAATTGACACTGACACTAATTTGTCGGCTCTGGCATTGCCTGCTCCCAGTCCTTCATTCCATTTGTGGCTGCGGACATGTATGATAGAATATGCCTCCCTTCTGTTCCTTAAGGCGCGCTTTAATTGAAGAAAGAGCTCGTAAAGGCGCTGATTTTGGACCTCCTTGATGGTGGCATCTTCAATCCTTGATGCCACTCCTACGACATAGAGTGAGTCAGAAACAACGTTCAGCGGCTCCAACAAGTGAGACACTGCCCAAATAACTGCCCTTAACTCCAATGTCTGTAAGTTGTCCTGAAATGTTGCCTCCAGTATCTGGTGATGCCATTGTTGTTCTGTTTTCCAGACCACGGCCGCTCTGCGTGATTTGCGGCCTGCGTCTGTGAAGGCTGTAATGGCATTTGAGATAGGCTTCTCCTTTCTGAGGGGTTTCTGTATCCATGTCCATTTTCCAACCCATTGTTTGGGTGTAAGGGGTCCTGTGCTAACAGTAGCTGCAGATGAAAGCAATGCTTCGGCAAGGGGTGCAGAGTTTAGAAGGTACCAGTCCAAAGTGGGTTTTTCCATGGGTATATTGATTTTTACTGGTTCTGAGCCACTCATCTCTAAAATACGAGTACGTCCCTTCTTGATAAGTATTGCCAGACTGTCGACCTTGGAGGTTACTGTTCTTTTTTGCTGTAATGGGGGTGAGATCCATTCTAGCACCACCGTCTCCCCCGTTTTCTTTTCATGCTGGGTGACAGCCCCTAATAGGTGGTCCTCAGTGTTCCAAATCGTCAAATGTAAAGGAAGATCAGGATCAAGACGTCTCACAAAACTAGTAGAGATGCAGTGTGTAATGTCGTGCAAAGCACGACGTTGATCTGACGTCAGATGAACTGGAGTGCAGGGATCAGTTCCTTTGAGTAGTGGGCGTAGTTTGTCTTAAAGGGTATTAGGAATTCCAGTAACTGGCTTGAGCCATTGTAAGTCGCCCAAAAGCCTTTGCGCTTCATGTAAGGTCATGACTGATGACTGGATAGATAGCTTCTGTGGTGTAATTCGCTGTTGAGTGATCGTCCATCCCAANTGACTGATGACTGGATAGATAGCTTCTGTGGTGTAATTCGCTGTTGAGTGATCGTCCATCCCAAATATTTCCATGGAGCAGAAAGTTGAATTTTGTTGGCTGCAATGACGAGAGAAGACTTCTCTAAAGAACACAGGATATCATGGATTTGAGAGTCTAAAAAGGGGGTTGCTTGTGCAAACAGAATATCATCCATGTAGTGATAGATGATGGTATCGGGCATGCGTTGTCGCAGTGGCTGAAGTGCTGCATCCACATATAGCTGACAAATTGTAGGCGAATTACGCATCCCTTGTGGCAAAACCGTCCATTCAAATCTCCTGGCTGGCTCGCCATGATTGAGGGCAGGGAGAGTAAAGGCAAACCTTTTAGTATCTGCAGGGTGCAGAGCAATAGTAAAAAAGCAGTCTTTCAAATCTATAACTAAAATGGGCCATTCTTGTGGTAACATAGCAGGATTCGGCATCCCAGGTTGCAGTGCTCCCATAGGTTCCATCTGATCATTTACTGCTCTGAGATCATGCAAGAGCCGATAATCGCCCGACTTTTTCCTGATAACAAAGATCGGAGTGTTCCAAGGGCTTGTGGATGGCCTAAGATGTCCCTGATTGTATTGTTCATCAACCAACAAATGTGCCTGCTCCAGACTTTCCCGTTTCAAAGGCCACTGCTTAACTACCACAGGCTCGTTAGTAGTCCATGTAAGTGGTAGCGGGAAGATCCAAGCAATGGCCGTTACTGAAAAGAATGATCGTTGGTAAGGACGAGGCCCAGCTGGGCCAGAACATCACGGCCAATCAAGCATTGAACAGCAGGTGGTAAGGTTGTTATAGAGAGTGCTGCAGACGCCTGTCTCCCTTCAATTTCAACAGTCAGTACTGGGGTGCGGCTTGCGAGTGTCATTCCGCCGATGCCGCTCACCGTGGTTGCTGTGGGCTGGGTGGGCCAAGACGCAGGCCAATGACCTGGGTCAATAATGCTGGTATCTGCGCCCGTATCCAGAAGTCCTTTAAGCACAATGCTGTGTCCCTGATGAATCAAGCGACAGGATTTCTTGGGGCGGGTGTTGAGATCCAAAGTAAGCAATGCGAGACCTCCTGTTGAGCCAAATCCTTCTGGAGTCCTG